GTCCTCGTTCGTAGCGAGTTCACATCGTACTTTTTTGTAGTAATAAGTTTAAATAAACGTCGCACCTTTTCACTATTTTGTATACAATAAAATAATAATAATAATAATAATAATAATAATAATAATATACTATTTCGTATACAATATATAGTGTAAAGGTGCAACGATTAATTAGTTATGACTACAAAAAAGTGCGTTGCGAACTCGCTATGAACGAGGGCGACACGAGCTCTTTAGCGGTGGGGGGAGGGGACGCCTAAAATCCGGTGCCCAAATAATATCGTAATATAACCATTTAAACTATATTACTAGCTCCATTCCGATCGTTTGTCATAGATCCGCTGTGGTAATCACTGATGTATATTAGAGGTTACTGCTGAGCTCGGCTAACACTTTATTCACCTATAACGATATGAGTTGAAGTTGGTGTATAATCTACTTCTAACCCCGGACAGGGGGAATGTTTTGTAAAAATGTATACCTATCTAAATTATAATTATAAATTATAGCTATGCTATTGTAATAATGTATAATATGTAAATTTTATATGTAAATAATTGTATATGTAAATTAACTTGAATAAAATTGTATATTATGTTATATAATATTTGGTTTTTATTTGATAATATTATTAATAAACATGTCAACACGCTATTGTGTAAAATTAATTAAGGGGTATGAATAGTATTGAAAAAATCTATGAAAATGAACTTTTGTATTTCCAATAATATGGTTTATTAATACTGTTTGAGAGTAAATAAACCTATTATCAATATTGTAGAAGAGAAGTAAATCTATGTCTGTATACAAGTCAATTTTCGATACTTTAATTACTAAACTCAATAATTCAAATTCAAAAAGTAAAACATCACAAGTTTTAGAGTTAAATATTGGACATTGAAAATAAAATATCGAAAATCGACTACCATACAAACCTAGATAAACTAGGTAAACTCTTCTCTTCAATTTGTATAATAGGTGTTCATACTGTAATGTCACTCAGTGAGCTATGTTATTGGAAATACGAAACTAAGTTTCAGTGTTTCACTAAAATTCACATTTGTAATTAGAGTGTAAATAGAGTGTTGGGTTACTGACATGTGCTTGAACGTGCGGGTGTGCTCCACTATTTATTTTATACACAGTCACGCACACTAATAATCAATTACTACGCACACATTTACACGACCATCATGCACAAAATTAGAAAATTGCCTACATTGAACTCCTTAGAAATACGGTCGGTATGCATAGTGCAGTGCATACCCCTTAATGCTTGTGGAAATTATATGTATTTTGTTCAGATATATTTAAGGTTTTTTTTTTAACCAGTGTAAAATCTCAAGAGGAAGTTTGTATTAAATTATCAAGCTTTTTGACTAAAGAAAAAAAATTTCATCAACAGGGTACTTAGTACTTACATCGAAAAAACGAAAAACACTGCTACATCATGGAAAGAATGATATGATGTAGGTATAATATCTTTCTTCGTGGATTTGCATTTCTCCGAATTGTTTAATAATAATTATATTTTTATTTTTATCTAGTTTGTTATATTTTAGAATATGACTTTTTCATTTAAATTCTCGTCAACCTCAGTGGCGTTCGTTCCGTTTGTATTGTTATTAATATTATGTAGGTAGGTTGTAGACTTGTAGGTACATTCTATAATTATCTTAGCTAATAAATATATTATGTGTTAAGAAGTAAGAACTTGTACTGAGCCCACTATTATAGGGCGTAATATATTATCAATGAAAATAAAATATCTTTATAACCGGTTCAATGTGAGACGTGAGTACACACGATGGACGACAATTCGATATTAAATATTAATATATAAAACTTTATTTGTTGGGTAAAAAAGCTTGACAGTTTAATACAAGACTACTAGGTACTATATTGTTACAATGGCATTTGTAAAATATTAAAAATACATAGGTACAATTTTCTTTTATAATCGTTTAAAGTTCGACATCTTGACAAAATACTGAAAAATCACGAAAATTTGCAAATTATTTTTAAATTTGATAAATGTTGTCAAAAATCGAACTTAAATAAGCTTATAAAAAAAAATGTGCCTATGTATATTAATATTTTTAAACTGCTATTGTAACAATATATCAGGAGCCTTGTATTAAATTTTCACGCTTTTTGACCCAACAAATAAAATGTTATTGATATGTATAGAAAAAAAAACTAAAAAAATTTGAAACTGTCCGTAAACAGTTCAAAACCAGACAAAATATTTTGAAAATTTTATCTAGTATAGGAATTGACAAAATAAACATATGATAGAAATTTAAAGATTATTTCATAATATTAGGTAAAATAATATATTATACCTGGGAAAGTAATATCGAAGTACCTATTTTTATATTCTTCAACTTACAATATGACTATATAAGAATAGTGTAATACTGTAATCTTTTATTTTTTGGGGATGCACATTTTAAACTTGGGGCCTGGAGGGTGCACAAGTCCACTGAGCACCACCCTATGGTTGGGCCAATGCTTCCATCTGATTCTCTATAATAAAATCTTTGTAATAAGAAAAATGATACAAATAATATTTTCGAATTATTCGAATAACGATTTTAGATTCTGAGCGGAGCAAGGAAGCTAGTGGTTTTACAATGGTGTTTATTTTTTTTTTATATCCTGTATACAAAATTTCTACCAGAAGGAGTGCTTTGATTTCAACATATAGTACCTTATCTTTTAGCAAATTGGACCAAGATGGTACTTTAGAGAGGTCATTTTTCGATTTTATCAATAGTTATTTAATGCCACGGGAAAAAGTACTGAAAATTACGAAAAACCGTTTAAAATGGGATTTTAATATCTAACAATTTGTTTATCACCGTAGCAACGAATAAAAAAAAAATAGGTAGGTATTATCTATATAAATATCATGTTTATAGTATTAAAACAACTTACATGTTATAATAATTAATGACAATATAAAATATACAGACTGACAAACCGTCTCTGTTCAGAATCGTTTTTCTTATACAATGATATTATATCATTGAATTCAAGTTTAATACAATCCATTAAACAATGACCAACTTGTAACCTACTGTACAGCTGAGCGACATCCACTTATCTGCCTTTTTTTTTCAAATCATTCCAATACATATATATTCAAATTATTATCTAGATACAATTTTGCCAAACACTGATCTTAATCCCATAAGCTGAAGTGTCACATGTTAGGTACTATATACCTACTAGGTAATATTGTAATAATAGGTACTGTTAGTATTATGGGGCCAATTGTGTAAAAATGATTTAATTCACAAGCTGAGGTCGCATTCTCTTTCACTGTATTATTATCGTCTTTATTATTAAAATTGAAACTTATAAATTTGTTATATTAGAAATGTCTGATAGCAGGGTGCCCAAATAGTTGACACTTTAATTAATTAACGTAAATTGTAAAAACGCTAGCTCCCTCACTCTGCTCAGAATCTAATAATTGACACTGATCAAAAATGTTTGGTTGAACAGTATATTTTAAATTTATCACAATAACTTAATATTTTAATAACAATAAATTTAAAATTATAAAGTGATTTCAAAAATTTAAATAAAAATATTATATGAATTTAAATAAATTACGGAATATTCATTACGTATAGTAGACAGCACGGCTTTAGATATCTAAAGCCATGGTAGACAGTAGTCAGTAGCACGATTAAATTAAATAATTAATTAATTAATCGTGGACAGTAGTAACCAAGGACTAAGGGCAAATTTCACTAACACAGTTAATCACGATTAAAGTTAACCGGAGTTTAATCGGCCGAATTTGGCCGGTTAAATATCTGTTATTAGCCGATTAAGCGTAATCTGGACAGGACTCTGGACACTACACGGTTGGAGGATGTGGGGGATACTTTCCTTTTAGCATTACTAGCGCTGTCTTTGTGGATACTTATGGAGCTAGAAATTTATATGATGTGTTCTAGTTACATAAGTATCCACTAAGACGGCTCCAGTAATGCTAAAAGGAAAATATGCCCCCGAACTCCGCCTGTTGTATTACATTTCGTAACCACAAATTCATCTCGTGTCCAGTCCTGTATTGTTCTGTGGTATATCTAAGGCTCTAATAGACACGGGTAAAGACAGCGGTCATTTTCTTTCCAAAGCTGATAAATGATAATAGCTAGTCATGTATTTATTAAATTTGTTTTGTGAAATTGAATTTTGGTAATTAATGAATAAAGGTAGAAAAATATATATTTGAACGATTATTAATGATTTTTCATAGACGTACTTGTTTTGATAAATATTTGTATAATTTGTATTAATTCTGTATTAATTCCAATTGGAAAGAAAATGGCAGCTGTCTTTACCTATTCTTAAAGAGCCCCAGTATATCTATTTTTATCTTAGTCCGTGGTAGTAACCAAGGTTTATAGATAATAATCTATTATAAAAATCTATTATCTATAAACCTTGGGTAGTAACATAGAACAATAGAACCAACAAATTACAAAATGCCGAATAGTGAACGGTAACCAACCCAACCCCGCGCAGAATACCCTGCCTTAGTCTTGGAACCAATTTCATAATATTGGTAACCACGGGTCTAACATCATGTTGGTGCGGGAACCAATTCCATGTTTTTCGTAGGTTCAGAGTTTCAGATCATAGGTAACCAATACCAAAAACAGCTGATCGAGTTTCGCTTCTATATAAATTGGACCGTGGTATTTTACAATGGTAGACGTTTAGAACATCTTTGAAATTTAACAGCCGATTGTACACTATCATTATTTCTTATCTTTTTATTCATAAATCACTATATTATACTAAACGACAGAGGTCATTTTCTAATTTTCATACAGCAATTTGGTAAACGCTACACCTCATTATTTTTGATTTCTTCTTTAATAGAATACATAATTCATCATAACAGTAAGAAATATTATTTTAGCTTGGAACATTAAACTGATAAATATAAATATTGTGTTTCAATTCTAGAAATAATGGCTTCATTCCTGCGATCCGCCAAATTAGCCTCTAGGCTCACACAAGGACCAACTAAATGCTTTTCAAGAAATTATGCTGATCAAATGAACTTCACATTTGCTGCCGCCAATCAAGTATGTTCAATAGCAATCTAGTAAATGTTATACTTTTAATATGTATTCGATATTGATATGTATGTATGTTTGGTAAGAGTTCATTATTAAATTACAAATATAAAACAGTTTTATTGCATTTTTTTTAGATTTTTTACGCCAACAAAAATATCAAGCAGGTTGATGTACCATCTTTTAGTGGTTCATTTGGTATCTTACCAAATCATGTACCCACATTGGCTGTTCTCCGCCCTGGAGTTGTAACGGTATATGAAGATGAAGGAACATCAAAAAAAATATTTGTTTCTAGTGGAACGGTAATCAAATACCTTTGTGGCTTTACCTAATACTTATGTAATAATTAAATATGTTAATTTTTAGATAACTGTAAATGAAGATTCTAGTGTTCAAGTTTTGGCTGAAGAAGCTCACCCGATTGAAGATATTGATGGATCAGCTGCACGTCAAGTACTACAAGAGGCTCAAAGTCAACTCTCAACTGCATCAGGTGATGTTGCCAAGGCAGAAGCTGCAATTGCTGTTGAAGTAGCTGAAGCACTTGTGTTAGCAGCAGGAAACTAGTACTGAACTTAAACTATGTATTATATTAGTATGGAAATTTGTTTAAAAATTTTGTCATACACAATTAGGTTTATCAAATTAAATTGAATTTCTACATGTTCCGTTTTCTTTGCTGGTTTTTAAAATTTAAAATTATAATTATTCTCATCAGTGTCCAATAAAAAAAATTCCACAAATATCTGAGTTTTAGTTTTTAGTTTTGGCTAACAATATTTTAATATAGTGATATTCCATTAAGTATTATTAAATATACAATATTCTATTTACATAATAAAATATTGCAATATATTATTGTTTAAACAATCATTTCATATTTTAATTAAATTGTAAAAATCTTTGATTTATTAATAATTCATTCTAGGGCTAAAATTAAAATAATAAATTATGAAATGTGTAGCAAGTAGCAAAGTTAAATTACCATGATGCGTTAAACCAGAAGCGGCTTGTAAGCACCTTCTACCGGGGCCCTGCCCCTGTAAAAAATTTGGAGTGGGTGGGTGGTTGGTCGCTGGTCAGTGGGTCAACGCTCAGTAGTTTGGTCAAATGAAACTTAATAGAATTTAATAGTAATAGCGTAGCAAACAATTTTCTTAGGGTACGTGGGTGGTTTAAATTTATCTGCCCTGGTAAGATGTAATTGTTCAAAATATTATTATTATTATTATTATTGTAATTTATAATAATTACCAAGACTAATTTAGGCTGTACTACCTATTAGGAAAATTGTATTATTACATCATAAAATAACTGAATTTACTGTTGTAGCTTAACATGTCTACATTTAGCCTTATTTAGTATACTAAATATTTAGACCACTTCTACTGACTACTGGCTTACACTTACATTGAATCTTCTGTTAAATACTTTTATAATAAAGACTGGTATTTTATTATATTGTACATAAGAATGATGAAAATAACAAATAATGGGGAAATATTTACTTGAATCTTATTTTTTTTTTTTAATAATGAAGATAATCAAAAACCTATCTGTTTGTTTGTTTTGATGATAAAGTGTTAAGGTTTATTACAGAATATGATGTTACAATTGAAACTTAAAATTTTTTTTTTTAGTTCTCTTAATTTTCAATAACTATAGAATAGGGGTTTCGACTATTTTGGGTCCACGCCTCTTCCGATTTCGAAAACAATAAAAACGCTTCCCATACTGGGAAAACAATAAAATGAATACATTTTTATTTTCTACTGCAGATGTGGCTCTGTTAATAATAACTAGTACACCCCTGGATTTGAAAATTCCTGGTATAGAATATATATAGTTGATACAGAATGTCTGAATGTACATATTGTTTCTACAATTTTCAAAACTCAAGTTTATTGAAAGTAATTCCACTAAGATCAACTAACTACTTATGGTAGGGTGACCAGATTACAGTTTAAGAAGTCCGGGATACCAATATTTATTTATTTATTTATTTATTTGTGTAATAAATGGGATATAACCCTTTAGAGTGAGAAATATCAGGTTTAAATTTTTAAGTATTTTACAGTAAAATTAAAATTAAAACAATCATAATGAAAATACAGTTACAAAATAGTAGTAATTAGACAACAGTAAATGATAATTTTATTGTAAAACAAAAAAGAGAAAAAAACAACTCTAAATTAATAAAAACATAATAATGATAGGTAATTAATTTGTAACTGAGTTTAAAGCTAAATATACATTTTTTTTAAACTCGTTTCGTTACCTAAAGAAAAAATCTGCATTATAATGATAATATTTGCTAGTTGTAATGCTCTAGGGAAGAAGGAAGTTGAGCTATAATTATTTTTGTGAAACTGTACATGAAATAAGTTTGTATTTCTTAATCGGTGATTTGTTATATTAAACTCAATCATTGAAAGCAGATCTGGGGAAGAAATATGACCATTCAACAAATCTTAAATAAACATAATATCTGCAACTTTCCTTCTTACCTCACAAGATATAAAGTCCAATTATTTGCATATTACCCATTTACCCAAGTTATTTGAAGTTCTGAATTGTTAATTTTATAAATAGGTACCTAATTATGTATCAATATAGTATATTTATATTTTTTTTAAACTGGAACCGGTTTCGTCCTGGGAAGTCTTGTATTAAATTGACAAGCCTTAGGTATTAAAATTAAACATCTTATGTATTTTAATATTGAAAACGGATTTGAATGTCTTAATATTGAGCTTACTTTCGATAAGTGATAAACAACTTTTTTCTATTTACCTGAAAAAGCATAGTTAGTTGAATTTACAAACATTTTGGTATCGAATGTCCAAATTTGATTTAAAGTTGTTAGTAAGATCTAAATAAGACAAGACAAGGAATTTAAACTTGTTTTCAAAATCTACATCACATAGTTAGATAAATCAATATTTAGTATGTCGGAATGAAAATAGACCTGTTTGGAATGAATAACAGTCAGTTTCAAATCCCTTTTGACTTTTAGTGTTATCTTACTGGCTTACCATATATTAATACTGAGTAGTAAATGTCCCTATTCTTCGAGTGGTAATTGACCAAATAACAAAAATTTCCAACAATTTTAATTGACATAATTTTAATATTCAATATGTTTATTGTTATAAATCATTCTGAAACATAACCATGCACTTTATTTTTAAGTCTTAAAATATTTTTAAATAATTAAAGTACAATTGAATAATTCTTCAATATTTCCAATACATAATAAGAATTCCAGAACTAAAATTACTATAAAAAATTATAATGTAATTTTCAAGACCCGTGTGTATGCAAATCGAAAATTGCCTATTATGAACTCGTTAAAAAATAGCTATAAAATTAAAAGAGATTTCTTGTACATGAATGTAGTCATGTATTAAGTAGGTAGGTATTAACTATTAAGGTTATTGATTAAAGAAAGTGCATGCTTGGCCTCAATGTAACTACTTTGATAGGCAGACTTTTTTTGGGTAGGTGATCAGGGACTTTGCCTATTTTTCACAGCTAGGTTTTTGTTGGATATCAATGATTTTTAATGGCTATAGCATAGTCTTAGATAGTGAACATTAAATACTTCATTACAATATAAAAAAAGCTGGGGAAGTCACAAGTGGGTACAGCTCTGCTGTGCAGTAGCCAGTAGGTGTCGACTGTCGAGTATGTCACTGTATTACTGTAATAGATGTATTAAATTTGAATTCATTGATATGTCATTATGTATAAAAAACGAAATATAATATATTTATATGACTGTATATAATATTATTAAAAACTTGAAAACCATGTGAAATTGAAATAAAAATGTAGAATAGAATTATTTTAGCGGTATTTATTACGGCCAATTCAAAATCCAAGTGTAAACTTCTTGGAGCTGAATACATATCGTGGGTTTGACATTCATTTAATAATATTTTAAACATTTAAACATTTGCTCATAGTAACTTGACTTTTGGGCCCAAAAATACAATTTAGGTTAGTACAGCTGCAACAAATAATGATTTACATGCATAGGCGTGTGCAAGGTATGCCGTGGTACACCCCATGGCTGTGTTGGGTAAAACAATTCTACGATTAACCAATTATTCCAAATTATATGGATTTTATCTATAACTAAACATATATTCATGAGTTTCATTATATATACACAATACACTCATTGAATTTGCTATAACTTAGGGATTAAGATGATTTTGTAGTATTGTACTTATAATGATGTTAAAAATAATAACATTTCAGTATTTCACCATAAAAAAATTAATCATAAACTATGATTAACAATGTAATCATTATCCATACTTAGTTTCACTTTCATAATTTTTTATTATTTTTAACATCAATAGTAGATCATCTTAATCCCTAGGTAATGACAAATTCAATGAGTGTTCCTATATTAAATGAAATTTATGAATATTTAGCTATACCTAGATAAAATCCATATAAACTGGAATCATTGGCTTACACTTAACCGTAGAATTGTTTTGCCCAATACTGTCCTCTGGCAACCTGTACGATTTTCATCCATTCTGGCGCTTTGAGTTTGTTTAGTTTACTTAGTAGAGCTACTAAATAAATAATACTAATGATAACCAACGAGTATGAGGCACAGAATAAACAGAAGGGAATCGAAAGAAATTTTAAATGGGTTCTTACGGGAGATGATGAGGTTTGAATAAATTTAGATAACCAGTTAAATAAAACAACCACTATAACTTATCACTGCCGTTTAATGTTCATATAAGATCGATAGCAAATCGTAATAGTGATCATATTAATTTTTATTCCAAGGCGTGATTTCTACTTTTACTTATAAAATACTACCCATAACTTTCTATTATTAAAAATTTGATTTTAAGTTAAGTGATGTAATGATTTTATTTAATATCCTAATTTATTATGAAAAGTTATTTATAAAAATATAATAAAATATACTTATTTTTTTAATAATAGGTTATCTATTTGTCGAACATATAAAAATGATTAACACAAGTACCTACTAAGTATAGGTACAAGGGTAGGTATTAACCAATATGAGTCCCAATACCAAATTCATGCTCACGCCAATGGTCATATGTGGCATGTATCACTTATTCACTTATATTTCTTAAAAGTACCAACAAAATCCAATTTGTTACTAGAAATCTTGTCAAAGGTGATGATAGAAGCATTTTTTCTATAGAAAAAGTTATGAAACGAACATCATTGGAAAATCAGTACCTACATTCGTCGTTCTGGCCGTTCTGTTCAGAATCTAAAATAACATAGTTTTGATATGAATGACGTATTTTGAAAATAATAAATAATAGGTAGATATGTAATTATAACCAAGTAAAACAGTTGAAATATAATTATAAGTATTTTACTTTAGAGGAAATGGGCCATGCCGTTTGAATATTTGAATGGATGCTATAAAAATGATAGTTTATTCATTTTGGGAGTTAAATATTTTCTATTTCCATAGCCCAAATTTAAATTTTCTTCACTCCAATATAATTTAAAAATAATAAAACGCACAAAACAAATCGGAATTATTAATATCCCAACAGTCGAAGGTCGTGAATTAGTGTGTTACACGTCAATTTCATTTTTAATAGCAAGTTTTAAGCAAGGTTTTTCAACGGAAATAAGACACGAGTAATTATAATATACTAATAGGCTGTTTTGGACAATATTTTCATCGGTGTTCGCTTGACCAAATCTATTAAAAAAAAGAAACCATGTATACATTTTACCTAATTGAAACGCTGCTTAATCGAGAATGCCAGTATCATATTCACATTATAGCGACAAAAATGTCATCATTGCAAATAATATAATAAGGCAAAGTTAAATCGCCATAGAAGGATCGGACCTTCAGCTAAGTCCATCGCAATTCGCAGCAGTCAACGAACCGATTATTCTTGGTCCAATTTGACATTCAATTACTCTCGTTTGAACGTTTTAATGTTGTATTAGTTATTAATTATTTGTAAAAAACCTTAAAAGCTAAATCAGATTTTTTTTTGTCTCTCGGCGCAGTGTTAAAATTGTACATAAATGTAATACTCATAGGTAGAATTAATTGTCATGGAATTAAATTGAAATTATTCTATGATTGGCATTTCCGGCCATTAATGTTAGTGTGATAAGCGTTTTAAATGTACATAAGATTCTTCTGATGTTATTATTTATTTAATAATTATCAAACAAATACGTATAAAATAAAATTACTAATTAGTTTAGGAATAGTTTGGTTATAAGTTTATAGTGTTAATATACTTCTACAACATTCAAAACCAATTTGTATAAACAACAATATATGATTCACCATACAGCACCAGAAACACACGAGTGGCCCCTACTGAACCAGTGGACTACCTATCTCAATAAGAGAATAATTTTAAGGATGTAGTGTAGAAAATACATCTTTAAATTTTTTGAAATATTAATAAAAGTTCCTCTGTATAAATTATTAGCTATTTCTATTATTGAATGCTAAAAATTAGTATCTATATACGTTACCAGCCTTCCATATGAGTATAAACCTGCAATGTGTACCTATGTATTTACATATTAATGTGTAAGCTCAAATATTTAATTCCTTTAATAGTAGTATTTGGTAACTCATCGATGTTTGACAGTTGCTGTACTCTAAATCTATAGTTATTTATTCAATCCGTGGTCCAATTTTCTTAATTGTTGGAACTTGGAATAAGTTCTGAAACTTAAATACACTATTTTAATTTTAACTAAACTAATTTAACTATGATTATCTACTATACGTAAGATTCCAATATTCCATAACAGTAATTAATATTTTTGAACAAAAAATAGCAAATTAAATTGAATCTGTTGCTCAACCAAGTATACAATTTATAATAGCTTATTGAAGACCAATAACGGTTCTAAAAATTTTTCTCTGCATTTATATTACTTTAATGAAATTAATTTATCATCGGCATTGCCTTTTTTTTTTGAATATCTACTGCAGTGTTAGAGAAAAAAAACACGGATGTAATATTATAATATTAAATTTTAAAATACAATTGTCTATTACAATTAGCAATTATATATTTATATTTAAAAATAATCGGAAACTATCAAAACGCTAAACAGCTGAGTCAATGGTTAGTGGTTATCAATAAACGCCACAATGACATAACGGTTCAAACCTATGAAGAAGGAAGTTTTTATATTCTTCCTTAAGATATTTTTTATTATTATTAATCTACCAACAGCTAAACCACACAAACGTGAAAAACTAATTATCGTAATAAAAAATAGTTAATTAAAATATTTTATCGCTAATATTATTATATAGTATATAAGTAAAAATTGCAATAAATGTTATTATACTATTGACACAATGTCGTTTATCTAGCATAAAATTAGAAATTATCTTCATAAATTTGATTATATATGCGCGTTCAGCGTTGTATGCTATTATTAATAATTACATTTTTTATAAGACCACTAAATATTTGTATATTTGTACTCATAGGTACCTACATATGACGTTATTTAATGAAATATAATGTCCAATCATCATACCTGGGACTAAACATAAATGACTTAATATCCAATCGAAATTTCTAAGTTGTCGTCGTCACTCGTCAATTAATATTAATACTGGTACCTATATTATATTATTATTACATGACACTAACGAACTATCAATGATCGTTTGGATAGGTTTTTTTTATGTTGGTACCTACCTATACAAGTATTTCAACGATAAGGTAGACTCTTCAATGGATTTTAAATTAGTTCACCTGAATTGTATTGATATAAAGCTAAGTAAAAAAAAAATACATTTAAAAAAAATTTGAACTACTAAATAAAAAACTCAAACCGTTTGATGTATTTTAATGTTTTAACTACATAATATATTATTCAATATATATCAGATTTAGTAATTTAGAAGATTTTAATCTTTTTGCTATTTCATCAATGAAATTCACTCTTAAATATATTTTGTATTATTAGCAAAAAATTAGGGAAAATATATAATGTATAGAAAATATATTTTAAGAATAACTATAGGAACAAACAAAATATTAGTTTGGCTAAATATTAGATTGGATATTATTTATTTTAATATTTAATATTTATTTATCATTTAACCACCATACCACAGAATTATTGACTAAAGATTTTAGATTAGTGATACCTAATAGCAACCTTAGAGTACTACTGACTTTTATTTTTATTTCTCTGGTTCGATTATCGATCCGAACTATTAGGTATTTGACTCGGTTCGATTCGGTTCAAAAATCGAACAGTTCGTAATATCTCTAGTATGTACCTATTATAATTATAGTCTTCACTAATGCTACAACTCTTAATTCCATTAGTTTAATCAACAAAATATGTTTGTGGTTCATACCCTATAAATTTAATAAACAAAACTATTGTTTTTTTTTCGTTAAAAACAAATTGTATTCTTAAAATTTGTGATCATTGTTTTTAATTGGCCAGAATAAGTATGTATCATGTATCTGCTACAATATCGTTTTAATTTACTTGGACGGTTTTGTTTATTTTAGGACAAGTTAAATATTTGTATTAATATGATATTTATTGTTCGAGGTGTAGAGTTTGTATTCATTATCCAGGATGATCAAGTCACTGAAAAAATGGTATGATTAACCAAGCATGCTCATCTCTTTTCTCTTTAGTAATGCAGTTATTCAAAATATGACTTTTGGAATTTATAAATTATTTTCAAACTCTCGAAATTTTTTGTGCTACTTATGGAGTGTGATGTGGAGATACAAACTTCGGTTTTTCAAATGAGACCCCTTATTTTCTACTGTAAATTATTCAGTGGATATTTTTTAGGCAAATGATGATGAACCAAAATCAAAATTTGTACGAGTAGTTTTTGGGTTATTTAACTTTGTACATAGGATAATAGCTCCATTATAATGGGCTTTGTAAGATATGGGGCATGGGACTATAGTGATTTGAAAATATATCAACATTAATAATTTGTAAAAATGGCGAAATTATAATAAATACTAGATATATCCAACATAACATATATTTTATTTATAATATTATCCTTAGTAGTTACTAGTTAGTACTTAGTACAGACATTTTAATAACTGATCGAGAGACTATATACTCGTTCAAATTTTGAATTAGGTACACTAACGTTTTCAAAAAAATTATCCACTAAATAATTTATAGTAAAAAAAGAAGGTGGAGGGTTCTCATTTGAAAAATCGAAGTTTGTATCTCCACATGAAGCTCCTTAAATTTTGAGAAATGGTATACTTTGTGTGTATCTGAAAATTCCAAAAATCAGAATTCAATAAATTCATTATTAAAGGGAAACATGGGGTGTGAGTATGCTTGGTGAATTATCTTGCATATTTATACATATATTATAAGTATAGGTATAAACAATGATTTTCTATAGGTAATAATATAGGTTCCTATTATAGATCATTATCAAAATAGTTGTATTTCGTGAAAATCATAGCATGTTATGATGAGTTTAACTTTTTAACCATGATATATTATATTTTTTATAATAATTAAAAACATAACAGGCGTTTCTTTTATGCTTTAACCATTAATGGTCACTAATAATTAACTAATAAATATGCGTATAATCACGTGAGGATAGTATAATACGGATGACCCAATCAAAATAACCTGAATTTGTGGTTAGCACACATACACAGTCTGTATATCTATACACTATGATCTCGTTATGGATTGTGGTTAGCTAGAGTTTTCTGGTACCGGTTTTTCATAATGATGAACACACTTACATACTCAGGTCTCAGACCAGTGACATAATTAATATAAAGCCACTCACGCTTGCACTAGCTACAAAGAAAGTAGTCGTGTGTGCGTACCAGAAGTCTTATTTGAATTTCGTATTTGATAACAGCAACAACTCGAAACACAACGTTCATTTTTCCAAGAGAAAATCATAAAAGTAATAATTTTGAATACACATTTATAATATTATACCTTACCCAGTGTCTCTATTTTAAATTAAATATGCGTGGAAATTATTTTTTGATGGTTTTCCTACTTTTTGCAATTGGATTACAAAATATTTTCTGTCAAAAACAAGAAGTGAGTATTTTCATAATTATTTATCATACTTTATGTCACTACTAACTTCGTTCATTAACTAAAATTTATTTATTCGTGTAAAGCCATCAGGAAAATGTAGAGCTCCCGATAAGGCACCTTTAAATCTCGAAATAATAATTAATATATGCCAAGAAGAAATCAAATCCGCATTACTTCAAGGTAAAGTTAAACAATCAAGTTCGCCGGTAAACTGTTTTTGAATTTAAATGAATTTACAGAAGCCTTAGATATCCTCAATGATGGCAATTTAGAACAAAATACGCCAAGCTATAGCAGTAGATCAAAAAGAGAGGCCGATGAAGATTTGACAAACGAAGAACGTAGAGTTGCAGGGGTAAGATAATCATGTTATTTTACTTTTTAATTAACCTATTATATCAACTATAACCCTCGAATAAATTAGTGTTAGTAAATGTTTTAAATTCTCACGAAAGCACACTATTACTTAATTTATTTAAATCTTAAGAATTTAAGATACATTTAAAGTGTAGTGATTAATTTGTATCTAATTTTATTTTACAATAATGAATAAGCATATTTTTAATACTTCAAAGAGATTATAATTTATAATTTAAATATTTGCAAACAATTGTCCATAAAAATTATCTATTATTTGTCTTAAGTTTTACCTTAAATAAACTGAACGTTTTAAAAATAATTTTGCCATTATAAATAGCCCTTTAAAGCGTACAAATTAAAATTGTTACTTGAATTTTATTATATTAAGCCAAGCATTATTAACTCAATTATGATACTTATTAAAAATCTCATATAAAAGTATTACATGAGTACATGATGATTCTTTTAACAGTAAACATTCCGTGTCTCAAATAGTATTAAAATTTTAAAAATATTTTTTTAAGTTGTTACAAAACAACATTTCATAAAAAATGTAGCTATAAGTACCAAGTTGACATTTTCAGTTTAGATCAGCGGAATGGTGTGGCATAGGGGTATCCTAAAAATGTTGGACTACTTCTCTCTCCGATCATCTAAATTTTATAAATTAAAAAAATTAACTACTAGCAAGTTACAATTTTTATGGAATTTCTCAAAAATCATACCCGCTTAGAGGAATATGAAATTTATAACGTATGCCGTTATTCGAAATAATTAAGATACTTAAATATTATTATAACGAAATAAATTGTTTTGTAGTAACTTCCAATGAAGTAAATAAAATATGTATATTTAATTTTTTATTAAGAAAGATAACATTTTATTTCCAATTTATGTAGATACACTAAATTTAATAAGTAATACGTTTAAAAATTATTCTCATAATTCTAGATAGTTTTCTTATTTTAAGTACTACCATATAATTTTATCACTAACAGTGCACCACAGTCGTATACTTACATATTAAATATGTATATACAAAAATAAATAAAAACAAAATTTAGAAATTCATTACATTACCCAATAGTAAAGAACCGGAAGCAAATTGCACCCGTGTTAAATGTTGTATACATACTTGTATATACTTTTATAAGTATTATTATAAAAGCCGTTTTATACTCGTACACAGTACATCCAGTATAGTATACCTACCTAATGTGATAATAACAGTGAGAACGGGTAAGTGAGCTATTAAAAAAAAAACATTCACTCGTTGCATAACTGAAACCTGTTCCGAATGGTCTGGTCATTCAATAATAAAACAAACATCCCATTGCATATTTCTGCACATAAACGTATAAATTATATTACGACTCTTCTATATAATAGTAATTATTGTTTTCAGTGTTTGCTCCAGTGCGTCTACAAGAAAGTGAAAGCAGTTGAGTAGAATATTTTTGTACAGTAACTATACCTATATATTTGTTGCGTTCATCTCAAACCGAAACTGAATGAATCATCTGATTATTGATCTACATAATATTATACAATATTATATTATGATATAATTAATTTAGGTTGATGAAACTGGTTTTCCGGTAGTAGACGGCTTGATGAAACTGTACAACGAAGGTGTTCAAGACAGAAACTACTACATGGCTACGTTATCCGCAGTTAGGCATTGTATTTCCATCGCGCAACAGCTAAAGCAACAACAGCCCTCCAAAAGTTTCGGTAAAACATTTATGAAACATACCTATATAAAGTATTCTAATATAAACATTAGTTATTATATCACTATTTGTACAATACTAGTTACTACATGACACCGATAAAATACAATTTAATGAATTTAAAATAAGGTAGGTAAATAATGAATAATGCAGGTTGACGTCTTATCCCGTTTCCAAACTATAATAATTAAATAATATTTTCCTATAGAATTTTACTAATACAATAAAAAACAGTAAAGCATAATACAATATTCATCCTAATTCTGAATTATAATAAAAATCTATACGAGCCTATTATAGTAAAAATAGTATACAGCCGGTCAATATTTTACTATAGTATTATAAAACATAACAATTAAACAAATATTTCCAAAAAAAATCAAATACATACACGAACGTCACGAACCAGTTTAATAACAACTGTTAAAATATAACATTACTATGCATAATAATTAATATGTTTTTCGGTATTTGAAATTTTGAATTATAACAAATAGTGTTATTTATATATTTTATAGAGAACGTCAAAACTAGAGAAAGTAATAGTGCCTAACATATTGAAACGTCATATTCTTTAGCCACAAAAAACTTTTGGGGGACAGAGCGAACTAAGGCGTCGGTTCGAACCTCGATCTCTGGCGGCACTTCTCTTCGGGCAGTCACAGTATCTGGAGAGAGAGGCCGCCATCCCCCTCCCGGGCATGGAAGATACCTATAGGTGCCCACTTGAAAATTCTTGAAACCTACAGTACCATCCCCCCACAGTTAAAAACCTCCCAATGGCCTAAGTTGCCGCTGGTAAATTAATACAAAATAAATAAAAACAAAAACTTTTATTTGTAATACTATTTTTACGTTTTGGAATTCAAAACTACATTGTGGTCAAACGTAAATAATTTATAACGTATTTAGGTACAACATTTATAAGCCATGATTTTTTTTATTATTATTTACATAGTTTTTAAAATATCATGAAGTGATAGAAATAATGAATTAAAATATTTAAATTCGTTAACTGGAATGTCAGCCTGTGAATAATTGAGATTGTTTTAACATAAAGTACCTACATATTTAATATTTTATGAGTTGATAAAACTTTAACGCTTGCGCCGTGTATAAGTGTATAACTAGAGTATTATTTATTTTTAAATTTTAGATGACGGACAAACGTGTGATCTTGCATATGAAATGTTTGAATGCGTCAGTGAAAAAATCGAAGAAGTGCGTAGTAAAAAAAAATGTTTAACTATTTATTGATACTTATACCTTTATTATTATTATTATTATTTTAGAACTGCGGAGTCGAAAATAAGTCAAATAACTTAAGCCAACGTCAAGTTTAAAAAGTTTTCTTTGGCTGTATCTTACATTCCAACACTGTACATAACCAACTATCTTTAAATAATTGTAATTAATTAATGTAGTCTTATTTTATTTAAATTCAAATTGATTGTCGTTGCTGTGTTAATTACCAAAAAAATAAATCTTAGTGAAATTGTTAGTAAAACGTTTTATTTTGATAAAAGTTTGTTATTACGTTATCTTATACAATTACACAAAATAACGTAAATTTAGATATAAGTTAAAATATTAATTTTATTTGATACTTCGTTTTTATTTTTATTATCTTTAAGGTCGTTTATCTTATTTAGTGGTTAGAAGACATCCTGGAAATATACGTTCATAAACCACACGATTTGCAGATCTTAATCATTCATTCAAATCGTTGACCACTGTTACAGCCAACAATATATATAGCTTCTATAATATAGCCCTATTAAAACCATTTTTAAATAAAATCATTAGGGAATCGACATTTGATCGTTATAACTAAGTGTATTTGTTATCCAATACTTAAACTGAGTACATGACACATTAAAATTAGTCCTATATTAGTTCCTTACACCTATATTTTGGTATACACTAGAAAAGTACTCGGTTAACCGGTTCTGAAAATCTTTCTAACCAAACTGAATCAATTAATTTCATAAAAAAAATTAAAACTATGCTTAAAACTATAATTGGCTCCATCAGCTAAATAATGCATTTAAAAAAAATGATAATTTAGTTATTGTATGATTGTTGTATGTGATCGTAATGAGCGGTTAACTGTTGTTCAAGCATATTGTTGCATACAAGGTGATTTAATAAACATGATTAATATTTAATTGTTTTATTCAATAAAAATATCCTAGTACGTTATTCAGTTATGAAATAATATATACGCTAAATAAATTATCTTGTTTACGTACCTATTAAATGTAATTTTGAGGGAAATAACAACAAATCCAATAGGTACATTAATACTGAATGTAGGAAGCAATTAAAAGCGAAGATAAATCATTAAATGCTTTAATTTAATGCAATTAAAAGCATGTTCATGAGCTATAACTTGTACGTTGAATTCATTATTTGAACAATAGTAACTACTAACTACAACTATCATACTCATGGACGTGCGCATGGGTACCTGCAGTAATAAATCTTAGAAGTTCGGTTTTTCGACATTCAATTAAATAATTTTGTTTTTTTTACGATAAAAGCATAATTTTTATTATTAGGTATCTTAAAAACATAGTTCAATGAGATAGTACAGTATTATCTTTCACAGGGACGGACTTAATAAAAATAAACAATGGGTTTGGTTTACATAATATTATAATATTACCTATTTAATCGGAACGAAAATAGAATAAGCCAATAACAAGAATAAAATGTGAATTTTAATTAACTTTAAACATAAACATTGCGTGTATTATCCAGTGTTTAGAATTCATCATAATATTATAAGATGCATTTTTGTCTGTTTTTATATTTTATTCTTAAAAATAATGGAGTGCCAAATTATATAATACGGCCGACAGGCCAGTCCACGATCGCTGACCAGCTGACCGAGCCAGTCCGCCCCTGGCTTTACACCATTTACAAGAGCTACTATCATAGAACTATAGAAGTATAGAATAGATGACCAATCATGATTAAATATGTTATCCTCAATGGTGTGATAAGTTCATCCACTCACTAGAAAAAAAAATTCCTAGATATGAGACTCTTCCTTAACTGTGATAATGTAATATAATATTGTGTCGCTCTTCACGAAAACTCAGAGCACGCCTATGATAATACTACCAGTATTATAGTGGTGTGTGCATATAAAAACAAATCATAGTGTTTGCTCAAATATAATGGACAATGGTATTGGTGGGCCACACATTATAATATTATTAATTATTATACTGATAAATAATGTTTAATTGTATATTATTTGATACACTTACTTAGGTTTTTGCCTTAGTGTTCTATAAAACTACTAAGACATAGATTTCTACTAAATTATACTTGGTATTATTGGTCACGACCCAATTTTAAGGTGTTGTCTGACTGTCTGAGTAACTATATTGCTAATTTTAGTAACAGTGTACCCTATGTTACATGCCACTAGGCACTAACTACCTAGTATAATACTAAAGACTAAACAAATACCTATTGAAAATAGATTAATTATATACTTTAATGGCAGTGATGCAACTAGTGACTACTGACTAAACTTCAAATATCTAGAATTTACTATAGTTATAATAATATAATGTATTAATTAATCAAATAATACATATGTTCAATGTATAATGGTTAAATAGAAATAAAAAGTAGGTACCTAATTTAGTTTAGTAATTAATTAATGTAATATAATGACGGACCTAGATACTTTAATCAAAATATATTGAATATTAGTTGATAGAAAAACAATGGTTTCATGGATATAAATCTTTAATATTAAACAAATCAAAGTTTATCATGACATTACAGTCTTTGGATATACGACCAAGAAGATTCTTGTAACCATATGATGGTTATATTATTAAGTTCATCCAGTGGAGGATACAAGGAGGGGACGAAGAGGCGTTGGCCCCACTTGGGCTGTCTTTTTAACGTAATTTTCTTTTATAATATTTGGCTAAACAAAAAGGAAGTTTAATTTTAGAAAATTCGCTCCCCCCCTTGGGTGATTTCTGGATCCACTACTAAGTGCATCGATCTTCATATTTTAATAAGAATGTACTGAACAAATCTACACCAAAGTTATATTTATTACATAATATATCGGATTTATTATAATGGATTTTTACATACAATTATAATTATACAAACTATAGTCTATAATATGTAAATAGTATGTTGTATTCATTATAATCATTATACAATATACATATATATTCATAATTCAACAAACAATTAACTACTTAAACGATTTCACAATGTTAATTCAGGTCAAAAATTAAAGCACTATTTATATAATACATTAGTGCCTATATTTATGTATACAATGGGATAAATTAGAATTCCATGAGTTTAACAATGGATAACAAAGTGATTTTTGTTTGCAAATATTTTCGAATATAAAAACTGAAATTAACAGTATACCAATGGCACCTGTTGACCGTGACATCAGTGGAATCTTCTTTGCATCTTCACGGTGTAATGGGCAAGACCTTAAACATATAAGTCGATTCTGCATAGAACGAAAAGACCGCCGACCACTTGTTTTGGCGGCATTCGAAATAAGTCAGCGTACCAGGCAAAACCTCCGAATCGTTTATAAATACTTTGAAAATATAGACACATTTTTCTTCGGGATTTCAACATTTTTGTAAGTATCTAATCCTATATATTTTATCACCTATAATATAAGAAATAAGCACTACACTTATATACGTAAATCATAATTGCTTATCGCAGGTGCTCTATTATATTCACAGTCAAATTTTATATTTTATAACTTGTGTTGTTATATTGGTACGTAAAAAAGTTAAAATATAAACAAATGAAAAAAAATTAATCCGTTTAAAAAAATGTTAATTGGCTTTCATTATTTTTTTGATAAATAGATATCTGGATCCCCAATATAAATTATTTTTTAACAACAGAAATAATATAATTAAACAAATAATACTATTTCATATTATCCAGTCCATTTACAAATTTATTATTTATGTTTGGTATGAATTAATCATATAAATTCAATAATTTACTCTATTATTATTTATTTATTTTATCATATTATTTTTTTATATAAGTGCCAACTTTTATATTAAGTATTAACTTAATATACACCAATGTCTAACTCAACAATTATTCTAAAAACAAAACAAAAATCATCCAAAACTTATGTCTTAAAAAATGTGCACAACTTGAATTTTTTATTTATAATTGTCCCACTTGACACAATATTATAAAAGTTTAAAGTTTAAAATTAATTTATATATTTTAAAACTAAGAAATTATGTTTTCGATTTAAACCTTTGTTGTATAAATATTTATATTTTTAAAGTGAGTCTATAATCTATATAATATAATATTATACTAGGGACTCCCTGACCCCTTTATGTATATTGCTATATGTACCATGAAAAACGTGAGAGTTTTTCCTGTAAGGCATGTTTTTGAGCAAAAAAACAGGTCGCGACCAGGCCCCTTAATACTATTGATCGGTATATTATATTATGATTGCTTACATATAAAATATGTAAGGTTTGTTTTCGAATTGAAATGCTGATTGTACCTAGGGATCAAAATTTCCGAAAAAAAATGGTTTTGACGAAAAAATTTCATGAAAAAATAGTTATTTTTTCTAAAGAACTGAAAAAGTTATGTATAGGGGAAACAGTCTAATAAATAATGATAGTTGATAATCATATAACATTTATATTACATATTATACCATACCTTAAGAGCGGGATACTTTACTCCAAGGGGTTAAACTTTGCTCCAAAAAATATATTTATTGATATCAATCAGAGCACATTACGATTTTTAGATAAGAGATTGTAGTTTTTTTTATATTGTTCTTATTAAGATTACAAATTATATTTGGAGCAAAGTATCTCGCTTTTACGATACCTAACTTAAAGTTTGTAGTGGATAGTTAATAGTTTAATTTTAAATTTTAATACAATATAATATATTGATAACCGTATTGATAAATGTGAAATGACAATGACAGGTTTCCTTATGTATTTTTTTAAATAGATAATTTTAATTTTTAAGGGTAAATACAATTTTTTAATTTTTCAAAAATTCGGTTTTTTTTAATTTTCCGAAAACTTCAGTTTTTTTGGAAATGATTATTTTAATATTTCCCAATTTTTCCACGTTTTCCTAAACTCTGGGAAAAAACTGTATTTTCCGGAATTTTCTTGAATCCCTAATCGTACCAGTGGAAGTTAAATTTTGTTTTATTGTGTAGGTGTGCAGCATTAAAAAAACCGTTTTTATTTCTCATTAATATTATTATTATATTATTGTTATAGAATAAAAAAATAGTTTCATGTATTATATTTTCACAGAAAATGATGCAAGTTACATAATATGTATTATTTTATAATTAAAGTGATTCCCAAATAAAATATATCCTTGACCATAATATCATATTCTATTACATTTTCCCATAGGTAGGTTATAATTGCTGGATTAAATAATATAATAACACACAATTATCAATGTCAACAACACTTTGGTGCTGCTATATTGCATGCACAATGCGCCGTCTCAACTCTCCAACGATTTCATTTTCAATAAAAATTGTTAATATTTATATAACGTTGGAAGTGGAAACTAGAAGGTGATGTTTTAGACAAAGACAATTATCAGTCAATTATTATCTTGAAACAAGCAGTAAACCCTAAAAATAAGGACAGTAAAAATCAAAAGTATTTTTTTTATCACCAAAATGTATTCTTATTCAAATTCAAATAACTTTTTTTTACATTGTCGTATGCAACATAGTTTAATACATCATGATACTATATTATACATTAATCTCAGAATTTCCTGGGTCAGATCAGTTTCAGACGGCCGTTAGTTTCATATAAAGCATATATAATTTCCTCGGTGTTTATAATTTATATTTTATTATAATATACTGATTACTGAGTACCTAATGACCAATTACATATAAATATATACATACGTCATACATACATACATACATAGGTATATACATCCATACATGTATTTATAATAGGTAGGTACGTATATTGTGTAATATAATAATATGTAACATTGTAACGTGTGAATGAATAGTCGATGACCGTCATCTCTATGGCGATTCACGTGATACGTTTTTCGTACCCTGTTTGGAATATTACATAGGTAATGAGTTGTTGTTGTTATTGTTATTACTGTATTATATTCACTGGAACTACATAATATCATATACGATGTACATTCAGGGTGTATCACTGCGTTTGTCCTCGTACAAACATCAACCAGTTTACTTTGTACATGTACACTGTACAGTGTATACAATGCACATAGTACTCAGCCACAGCATGAACTATACACGACAATCATAACATTTAAAAGATTTGAACTAATTTTAGTTATATAAATTGAAAACATGCCTACCACAAGGCACAAACGACCGTCTAACACAGTAACACACTATAACTATATAATTATACCTAATATGTATATGTTTATACATTGAACATAAGACACTCATTGTTTCAAAAGCTATTAACGTTTTTAAAATAACTTGAGTCAATTAAAAACTAGAGGTATCCCACAAAAGGTTGGTATCCACTGACCGCTAGTCGCTACTTAGCTCATTAAAACTTTAAATATTTTTAACTAATAAACTATACTTATTTAAAGTTTGATTTTTATTGTTTGAAATACTCCAAAGTCCGAACAAAATATTTCTTCGGAATATATTAAATTAAAAATGTATGCACTGCCATTCAAAAGAGTAAAATCTTAAAAAAAAATCAAAAAACGATAAAAAAAAAATACGGTTTTGGGCCCGACTTAAATTATGTAAAAGTAATATTTGCTAGAGCGTTAGTGTTTTCTGCGGAATGATTATAGTGCCTTCTTATAGGTTGAATCATCCCTCGTATAGACGATACAATATAAATAGGGTTTTGGGTGCATTACTATGACGTAGGTATATATATTATTATCTGTTTTATTAGAATGTATAGATTAAAGCGGTGCATCCCAAACGGCCCCCATCCATAGTTTGCTTATTTCCAAATGGCTCCCGTCGAAAAAGGTTTCACCCAAATTTACCAATGTATAATTTTATATTTATACATTCTTTAATAATTAAAGCTAAAATTTTAAAAAACCTGACACATTTCATAATATCAAATATTTTTTAATTTTTAATTCACAAAATCAAATAGGTATATGATTTTTTACATAATATTTATAATTTACATAGGATATTCAATTTTAAAAAGCACCTATTTTAAGACAGTCATAATTCTGTATGAAGTTAGTACAGGAATTTGTGTTGTAAAAAACCGGAAGCAGTTTGAAAATTACTTTTTTGTAAAACGGGAGCCGAATACTTCAGACTATTATTATGGTAGATGTATATAATACATTTTAAAAATACAATATCGTTGACGCGATGTGAATCGAACCGGAAAACGTGTAAGTACCTAACTATATAATACTATTTTCTGGCCAAAAATCACGTACATCAGTAGTCACCTATTCCATTATGTGTAGTGTATAGATAAATATTATATACGTTCATTGAGGTAATACTTCATGATAATATCATATAATATAAATTTAATATGTCGCCTCTGTCTGCGGACGACCGTTACGCAAGGTGCGCAATTGCGCAGAGTATCGGCCACGCGCGACGAGACGTATATAATATAATAGGTGCATGTAGGCGATCACGTGATGTGTGCAGCAATGAGTCAACGGTGATTTTATCGTCGGATTTATTGTTTTTGAAAAACGTTTGAGAGGACGTCTCTGCAGTATGTCCCGTAATCTGTTATTTTTATTATTTTTAATTTGAATGAACTGATCGACACTGTTAAATTACGTAGAGGTATAATAATATCGTCTAGGACACTTTGCACTTCGTATAGTTCTTATCAGTGGCGTATTAGGGGGGACGATGGGGGGGCAAATTCAAAGGGGCGCCGTTGCTAGAGGTTATAACAAAATTAATTTTAATTTTATTGGATTTGTTGAGAAATTATATTAGTGATAACTGATGAGTGAATACCTGTATTTTTCTTATAATATCTTTTACTTTTCTATACATATTTCTATATAATATATATATATATATAATGTATTTTATTAAATTGTCTTAAAAAAAGGCTAAAAGGCTAAAATATAAGTTATAATTGTTTATTTAATTATAGAGGTTGACTTTTTATTAGAATAAATGGAGTGTTAATGGTAAAATTAAAGTGTTCTCTAAATTAGTGGAAGCATAAATGCAATAAGGGGTAAATATGCATTTTGGGTGATCAATTATCATTTTTACATGGCTTGAAACCGATTGAAAAATGTCTGTTTTGATTTCGATTTGTACACCGGTTTCCAAATTTTTTCAGTTTCGGTTTTGGATTTAATACCGGTTTCCAATTTTTTCCGATTTTGTTTTTGATTTTGTTATCGGTTTCAGTTTTTAAACGGTTTATAGGTACCGGTTTCTAAAATCGGTTTCAAGACCTGGGACTATTTACGTTCATTCTTAGTTTGTTAATTAAAGGTTCCGATCGCCTGTTGTGTAAAGTTAACCTTCCAAAATGTGAAGATACAAAGATTTTCAAAAATACCGTTTTTTAAATTATATTTTCGGTTTTTAATTATAATACAGGTTTCCAATTTTTTCGGTTTTGGTTTTGATTTTATTTTGGTTTCGGTTTATAAACGGTTTCAAACCCTGTGACGATTAACCGCAGAGAGAAAAAGTAAATTGTAAATTAGAGGGGACTTAAAAGTTTTTTGTGACAATGAGTAAAAGGAAACTGAGAGAAAAGGGGCGCCCAAAATGTGTGTACCTATGACGCCAAAATCGTAAATACGCCACTGGGTTTATTCGATATTTTATTTTGAAGGTTATGAGCATCTCAAAACTGTAACACAAAAATGGTATTGTAGATTATTTGGAGTTTACGCTTGAGGTTACGACGCGTCCTCTCAAATTGGTTACAAAGTATATTTTTCAGTAGTTTGTATCGCCAAAATGAATAAGACAGTGTTCAAATTCAAATACTTTATTGTCTTACATTGTCGTATTTGTATGAGTCCTACATGTTTCCGAAGGGTTTATTTATTTGTATTTAAATAATACGACCAACGATCACTTAAAATTCACAAAAACCCTCAGCTTATTCAAAAAAAAGAATACGATTGAGAACGAATTTATGACTAACGTGTTGCACTGTTGCCATATGAATTAAATAAATAAATGAGGTAAATATTAAATTGGCTGTAGAATGATTCAGCACTTTGATTTTTTTTTTAACTAAACCATTAAGTGTAACGAAATACCAAATATGATAATATATACCTATTAATTATTATATTAACCCTACAATGCATGATTTTTTTTTATTATTTAAAAATGTTCTAAAAGTTATAGGAATACGGTAAAAATAATTTAAAAAATTTATTTTAATTTCAAGTGTTGAAAAAGTCGAAAAAGTTGGTTGTTGCTGTAGAGCAACATTATGCATTTGTAACTACGAAAAATAAAAAATTTAATCATAATAAACATAAATATATACAAATAAAATTTGAGATAATTATGTTTTAAGTCATAACTCATATACGCATCAATTATAATAATTATAATCTTATAATTAATATGGCTTAATAAAATATAATAAGTTGCATTGAGTTACATTATATATGTAAATTCCTGGATCATTAATATTCTAAATATGTATTTTAATAAATTAACTGCATTTTGTATCACATATTATATTTATTTTAATGTTAAATTAATAATTATTAACTAATATTTGTTTTTTTATTGCGTCGGTAATTCTTTATTTGCCTTGTTCTACTGTAGATAATTAACTCTAAAATCGCATTTTCGATATCTTCATGACTTAAAAGTGAAAACTGTAGTCAAAAAATACACGTATAATAGTTTAATCCTCAGTTGATTTTCATTTTCCTAGGCTATAAAACTTTTTATATGTATTTCGAAGTTGATTTTCTCCTATATCCGGACCAGTACCAAATATTGTACTCATAGTTTTGATACAATTATTAAATATGGCAACGTTGGACTAAAAATGTATAACTATTGAGCGTCCACAAAATATTTCACTTATTAGTAAAAAAAACCGTTCTCGATCATGTCTAAATACTTATTACCGAATAATATGAATATTGACTATTGACACGTTGTAGGAACACTGTAATGTTGACACGATTATTCTTCGATTTTTCAGTTCAGTTGTTATGGCTCTATCGGTCCGGTGGACGTTAGTGGTGATGTCGGCGACGGTGATGGTGTCGGCGGACAGCGTGGGGCGGCAGGCGGCAGTGGAAAAACGGCAGGCGCCCAATGAAGGTGACTTCACAGACAGGTCGTCGGACGGATCGTACGCGTTCCGGTACGCTGACAGGAACCAGTTCCACTCGGCCGCCGCCAATAAGGACAACGTCGTGTCCGGAAGGTACTTAGTACTTACCTCTGTAATATATGTGTGTATAATGTATATATGTATACTAACAAAGATGAATTTAAATATATAACTATTAATTATTATACATTTTAATTATGCACACCTTTGAATATTCGGACAGTACACGAAACCGTGTCAACTCTTGTAACTAACACGCAATAATTATTTTCTCCAGCAGTAATATAGTATTTATGGTTTTATAAGGTTGAGGCGCATATATTATAATATTATAGTCACAAACGATCGCTATACCGACTGTCGTTTAAAAATTACTACTAAATACTTACTAAGTATAATACAGACAAACAACACGGTTATATTTTTCATTTTTATACCTATACGGCTATAATACGTACTCATGTTGTGCTGATTTGATTATACTCACAGGTTTGGCTCCAGGAGTCCCGAAACCGGTCGAATCGTGCAAACGTCGTATTCGTCCGGGCCCCGCGGCTTTCGCGCCCGCGGGCCGGACATTGCCAGACAGACAGACCTGTCCCAAGTCCGTCTGCCCTACAACCCACCAGTGCCCACAGATTCGTCCAAATACGACCCGGCCTACGACCGATACTACGACCCAAACGAAGACCCGAGCTACAAGTTCACCGTCCGGACGCCCACCCAATCAAAATCCGAAACCGCCGATTCCAGGGGCCACGTCGAAGGCGTATACTCGTACTTGGACGATGTCGGTAAGCGTATGTCTTAAATAATTGGCGTAGGTGTATCATATGACATTCTATTATAGGTAGAGGTATATACTTGTGTAAAAATAATAACGTTTTATTAAAATATTGTTAAAGCGAGTTTAAACTTAAAATAGGTGTCAATATAGGGTTTAGATATACCGACCGTTTTTAAAGATTTCGAATTAGGCAATTTTTTAAGTGTGCATAATGACTAATAAGTGCAAATTGTTATTAGTGCATGTGACTGTTATGTGTGTAAAAGAAATAGCAGAGCGCTGCCGCACAAGCACGTACGTGTCAATAATGCGTTACACGAATAATATAACAAAAACTGTGCATGCTAATCGCTATTTTTCTTTTGCAAAGTAATTTATGATTCATAGATATGTCGTCGAGTATATGTCGGAGGGTCTGGTTATGTTATGCACCAATATTGGTATATAGCGTGATCCGATTATTATATTTTATTATACTTGTTTTTTTTCAGGCAAGAGACACGACGTTCAGTACGAGGCGGGCGCCGGTACTGGATTTCACGTCAAGTCGCCCCACCCGGACTCGGACACGTACGGTGGTGTGTTCTACAACGGTCCTCCCGGCAAGCCCGGCGGCCGGCCTCGCGGCCACTCGTCCATCGTGCTCGGCAAGGATGGCTCGTACGGGTTCACTGCGTCCGGGCCGGACCAGCGGCGGTCCGAGGTGAGCGACTCCAACGGCCGAGTGCAGGGCTCGTACACTTATGTGGACGACAAGGGCGTGCAGCGAACGGTGCAGTACGTGGCAGGGCCCAACATAGGTTACCGAATTGTCAACAACGCAGCGGCCGGAGGTGCGGCTGCGGCTCCATCGCTCCCGGGCAGCAGTGTGGTCGTCGGTGGCGTCGGTGGCATCGGTGGCGGCGGTCTGGTGGTACCCGTTCCGCCGTCCGTATTGCCCCCGTTGCAGTTTGATATCGTCGTCGTCGTCCACGCCGCTGCCGCCGGTAGCGTTCGAGCAGCAGGACTTGTTCGGGCCTGCGGCCAGCACCTCCGCACCGCTCCCGGACCGCCGGCGGCCCGAGCCACCGGTCAAAGGCTTCGGCGGCAGTGGCGGCGGTGGAGGCCTGTCCGACGAATTCCTGTCACCAGACAGCAAGCTGCCGCTGGGTTCGGCGTTCCCGGAGGACGATCCCTCGTTGCCGCCCAAGAAGTGGCCCACCACGTACAAGAACAAGGACGAAGAATCGTTCTTCCAGTCGTTCGAGAAGTTCGACAAGCGAAACCCGCCGAAGAAGGGCTACCACGCGGCGCCGGCGGACACGACGTCGTCCTACGGTCAGTCGACGACCGGCGCGTACGGCCTGCTGCAGCCGCAGTCGTCCACCGGCAGGCCGATTGGGCCGCCGGACGCGGCGTACGGCCAACCGTCCCGGCCGATAGTGGTGGACGACAAGTACGGGCAGTACGGCGGCACTGACTACCAGAAGCCCAAAGACGACGGCGTCCCGAACACTTTCGGCGGGTTCCCGACCGGCGCCGTGGTCAAGGCCCACGTCCAGAGTCTGGACATACTGCCTTTCGGATACAGGGTGCCTTCACCGTCGTATGTTCTCGAAAAACAGTTCGGCAACGGCGAAGACTTTCATAATTCGATCAAGAAATAAAACGGTGCGTGGGCCGTCCACGCCATAATAATTATTATCATTGAGTATAGGATATTATAGAATATAATATATATACTATATTACTATCCATACTCAATGTTATTATATACACGTAGTTGATAATTGTATTATTATTTTTATTAATGTATAAGTTCCTGGCCATGATGAGGTTTATTGATTTTCAAACGCGTGTACGTTATTCTTGATTTTCGTCAACATAATATATTATATTCAGTATTGACCATCATCGACATGATATAATATTATTAACGATCGTCAATAATCTAGACTTAATGCTAGCGTATTGTTTCGAAAGTATAATATACAATATTTGGTAAATACTAAATAGTGTATAATATTTTTAAATACGATTGTATAATGTCATCATTTTATTATTGATCAAAATTAGACAATAAGAACGAATTATAATAGGTAGTATATTTTAAGAAGGCCACTCGCATTAATTAGTAATTAGGTACCAGTATAATATTATATATCGTGCACTAAATTATAATACTCCTATATATATTGTGTATAAAATGTATTATTATTTATTAATGAATAATGACATATAGGTATAGTATAGGTACATAATATACTTCCGTATAAACTTGTAATTTTTCACTATTAAATGAAAAGTTTTACAAAATGTTTGAAGTTTATTTACTTAAAGACGTGGCATCTGTGGTATTCCGCCATTTCATCCTTCTATTCTGAAACCATACTTTTACCTATAAATAACAACAGTATTAGGTGTATGATTACACTAATAATAGCTGATATTATTATGCTCAGAGGCGGATTGACTAAACATTTCGGTCCGGGAAATTACAGTGTGACAGGCCCACCCAATATATTAAAACAATTAATAATAATTTTCAATAAAAACCTTTTTATTTTTTAGGAATTGTCTTATTTATAATTTAATAAGATTTTTAAGACCAACTAGGTTCACTTACCTACCAGAAAAGATGCTGAAATAGAAAAATCAATGCATTTTTACTGCCTACTACACACATTATTTTAAAATCAAAACATTCATCGCTTCGCTCAGAATATAAATTATTAATACAAATTGTATAAAAATGTACAAAAAAAAATTGCTGCGAAAATGACATCCAAAATCGTGATACGAGTATACGACAACAAACAATGTATAGACAGTCATAATTAAATATTATCAATTAGTTTGTAATCCAAGTACAAACATCGGCCCAAAGTTTTATAATACGAGAATCGGCCCACAGATAACTTTCACGGTATCCCGGTGGGCCAATACACCTCTGAATTTATGCTAATGGTGCAGCGAGTTATAATTATATGAACTCACCTGCAAGTCTGTAAGTCCAAGACTGGAAGCCAATATCTTTCTGTTTTGTTTGGTAATGTATTTTTCCATTTGGAAATAGTATTCTAACCAATTCTTTTGCGTGACCGTGAATACAGCTCTACCGGTACACTTTCCTTTTTTATTCGTCGATCGATCTATTATACAATTAACTGCACGTGAGTATAATATAGAGTATAGGTAGGTACCTATTCTTATAATGACTAATTAATGAGTATGAATGCCTGATCACAGATTATATTATATTTGTGGATAATTTGTTGTTTTATGTTTCTTTATTAAGTAGGTACCTATATAAACAAAATATATAAATTCATCGTGATTTCAAAATTGTAAGAATGACAACTAAAAACCTTTTAGTTTTAGCTGAGAAAAGGTTTGCACCTTATATTTTTCGTATATAATATGTAGATACGAAAAAAATACACTTAAATATTAGCAATTAGGTACTATTTATTTATTTTTTGCCCAAAAGTCTTATTTTCGCTGTTTATATATTTTTGTCATAATTTCGTTACAATGAAATAGTAGTACCTACTATCTTAAATCGTGGTTTGAATGCATACGAAATGTAAATTTCTCATAATATAATAATACAATAGAGTATAGACAATAATAGTATATATTACATATAATATTTACCCGAGTCAGTGTTAGTATTCAGTATTCTATCGATACCGAAATTCAATGGGTCCGTCACTTGCAGACACGCTTGTGATTGTCGGCGATCCATTTTGAGTACTGAATATGTTTAAATTTACAATTCACAATTTATAATTTTTTATTTTTGTTTTTTAAAGAGGCGACTGTAGAAGGGGAAGATAATTAATAATTTAACAGTTCAACATTGTTCACTGGTGTCTTAAAAATCTAATTTACGACTGTTGTGGTTTTAATGTTTTAACAATGTTTATGCCACGTAAACGTAAAACCCAAAGTGTCGGTTTTCATGTTATGAGATTCGTGTTTGACGCCAGAACATTTGGACGCAGCTGTTAAAATAAAAATCATTTACATTTTATACACGACTATATATTATAATCTTAGGCTCTTATACGTATTATTATGTTGTTTATAGTCTGCAGACTTTATTTCTGAAGTGCATTGGTTGTGATATATAATTTATAATAGTTATTATAGTTAGTAGTTACTGATTCCGTTGCCGATTCTATTGATTATAGACAGACAGACCGTGGAGTAACTATTATATTGCACGTACGAGTCATATGACTAGCCATACATGCCAATAATTGTAGAACTACAAAAGATACAATTTGGTTAAAATTGTAAACACCTAATAAATATTAATCAATTGATGGTAATCCGACCGGGCGTGTATCGTGCTGTGTAGATTTGACTATTACATAGACAGTAAACACTTTTAAAACATTTCTTAGAGCCTATATTTAACGTTTAACACTAGGTATATAGTGTCTAGTATAGTACCTACCTATATGTCCGATTATTATGTTTCTAGTGATGGTTAATGAAACAACTATAGGTAGGTACCTAAAATTAAACTTGATTTATTGTATTGTAATTATTATTAGTTTAAAATTGGAATAGAGATGTATTTTTTTTTAAATAAATCACTCGTAGACTTGAATATATAGAATTATCATAATCTCAACTTTAATGGGTTTCTGATCTTATGCAATTTAAAATGTTTATTAAACACTATATACAATATAGGTAAGTATAGGTAGGTCATAGGTACCTATACAAGCATGTAAATGTATTTTTTTAATTTTGTTATAGATAATTTATACATATTAAAAAACAGCTTAACATTTAACATATATTAATTAGTGTTAATATTTTGAATCACTGACCACTGTAATACTGTATATAGTACATATGTATTTGTATATACATATATACTAATAAGTAATAGTACCTATTATATATTATAATAATTAAAATATATGTACGGCTATAATATGGCTATAAACCTATAGGTATCTACACTACATAATGTTATAATAATTTGAAAATGAAGCTCGTATGATATTTCTAAAATCATACATTTTAGCTATTTTGTAAATAAGCATAAAAACTATTAAAAAGAAAGATTTAAATACTTATTATGCTATTGCACTTGTCTATATAATTATCCACATCTCCCTGACTCCCTATTATATGTATATGTAGGTATGTAATATGTATGCATTACAATAAATTAGATCATTAGGTCACATCATACTCACATCATGCGTCGCATTGTACTGTCGCTTTAGGTGACACAAATGTGTTAAACATTTAGTGCGAAACGAGGCAATTAAAATATTAGTTTATGATTATGCACAGCATGTCAACGATATAAAATAGTTAGACATCATTCCTTAACAGTGAGGACTCGAAGCAACATAATATTATAAAAATATCATTAGTACACTTACATATATATGAAAGTTAACAATGAATACTTTAGTGATAGGATTAAGCTTTTCGCTGATATGTTATTTAAACGGGCATGAAGAAAATAAACCATATTGGAGCAAAGAAACCATGGATTTAGAAGCATTGCCGTTAGAAAAATTATTAGAAATGAAAAAAGAACTTCGGATAAAAGGTAAAAAATGTGTTAAGTACCTACTTAAACTATAAATTATAAATAGGTACACCCATTAGCTATTAGCATTCATTATGAATACTATAAATTATAATTGTATTATAATAGTATTCATAACCAATGATATATTTAGATACCTAATAATTAATTGACCGATAAAATGGACATTACATTCACAATAGGTACCGACTTCTATTATATCGTGATCGAAACAAATTTTTAAATCAAAGACGAATCTTATTTAAAAAATGTAATTTTTAAAATAATTCAATTTTGTATTAATATTATGTTATATAGATGACAAAACTATACGTATTGTAATGGTGTAAGGGTATTATATAATAATTGTTTATTTTAGATTCTGAGCGCTCCTATATAAATGTATTGATTTTACAATGATGTAAAAATGTTTTTATTTTTTATATTTTTGTTAAAGAAACTTTTTTAATTTTTTATTTGGAAAATGTCTTCGAACACCAACTTCAGAGGAGTTTTCTGGTACCAAATGGAACTAGTTTGTACTTTGGTGGGTTAAAAGTATACATTTCTCAGTACTTTTAAAACTAATTATAACAAATAAAATACAAAAATTTGTTAAAATTATTGTAATACCTACTTATTATTATTAAAATAATTGTTTTTTAATCAATAATCATGGTTACGTATCGTCAATCGTTATATTTGTCGCCGGCTAAAAGATATTTTATAATCACCGATCAATGAGCCATATATAATCATATCGTAGTATGCCTGAATAGTATCGTAAATTGTTTGGTATTTTATGTGGATAAGGCCTACATGACGCGGATGCAAAGCTGGCCAAGTTAGTCATTTTTTTCAACTAGTTGAAGTTAAGTTACTTTAATAAAAAAAACTAACAAGGTTAGAACATAAGTTAGTTTCTGAAACTGTCCAAATTTCTAACTTAGTTAGTTAGAAGTTAGTTTGGTGAAAATAGTAACTTAAGTTAGAGTAGAAATTAGAAGTTAGTTTTTTTTTAGATTACAAAACCTTTTGTTTAAATGTAAATAATAAGTTATCTAACTTAAATTATTGATTAAAACTGAAAAATTGAATTAACCCCTAGTAATTTGATCAAAATGTTCTAATTAGGTAAGTAATAATTTAAATTAATTGGTATATCACTTATCAGTTATTAGAACATAAAGGGTGAAACAAAGTAAAAAAAATAAATAACAGTATGACAACTTAAAATATTAATTAAAATTAAAATATTCATTTTGGAATGAAAAAATAATAATAATAATAACTAGTTAGTTTTTTTCTAACGAGTTAGATTAGACTATTTTATACATTAAATTCAACTAGTTAAGTTACAAAATTAATATGAATTAAAACTAACTAGTTAAGATAGAAAGTTACTTAAAAAAGTAACTTTCTAACTTAACTTTAACTTTCTAACTAGTTAGTGCCCAGCTTTGCGCGAATGTCTATGTAAACAAATATATTTTCCCGGGTGAAGACGGGTCTAGGGTTATACAGATAGTTTTAATATATTTTCACTTTTCAGTTTTTAGTAAGGTATAGTGACAACATGAGGTACGCTCATATGTTTCACTAAAAAGCATCCTATAAGGAAATCCATACAAATAATAATGGCCCAATTACCAGGTGCACCTTTTATAAATTAAAATTCATAGTGGCCCAGTTACCGTTCTATTTTTTGAAAATAAATATAATAGCGGCCGAATATTCGCGGACGCCTGCTGCAATAAGTATAGGTAGCATGCAGCCACGTCGACCGTTTATTTATTCGCACACCAAGTTGTTTTATAATAATATGTAATAATAAAAAATATAATTTGGTGAGGAAAGGAGGGAAACGGCATGCAAGTAAATCTTTAATACCGAAACACTGTGCAATAAGGGACGATGTTTAAAAACTAAAAAAAAATAACTAAAGGGTTAGTTTGAGAAATGCCGAGTTTTCGCTAAATGACGAATAAATTCACAGAGGTCCAACAGCCGACTGAAACTTGAAAGTTTAAAACTATGGCTGAGTGGCGGGGTGTCATCCCTCCCCTCCCAAGACCTACTTTGGTTGGTTTCGTCCTCAACCCCCCCCCCACGAATGCAATTATTTAAATCTTAAGTATAACAACTAAACTGCGGTATGCTACCTAACATGACATAAAATGAATGCACAATTTTGTCTTTCAGATGAACGTTCGGTACGACGGACGGACGATGAGGTGGCAGCGGCTACAGCGGAAGAAGACGCACCAAACGCCATGGCCTTGCGCAGAACCACGGACGTTCTGCGCTCGTCGGCGGCCAGCGGTTCGATGCAGACGGCCTTTCAGATGTCCCTTACCGTCCTGTCGTTCCTAGCTTTCGGAGGCTACCTGATCAGTCTGGTCGCTCAGAACATGCGCAAACCGTCGCCGTCGATGGACGGCGCCACGGCGCCACACCCGCTCAAGGCCGTGGTGGTCAACCGGAACAAACGGCCGGGCCTGTTGCTCAGACCGTCCGGCCCCACGACCACGGTCAGCTTCGGCCGGCGCAAGCGGAGCAGGAGGTTCCCTCGAACCACTGTAGTCTGTTCTGAGTAGCGTTTTTTATATATTGAATATTTAAAAAAAAAATAACGACTGACTTAAGTTTATTATTATTATTATATACCTACCATATTATTATAACATTATAAATTATAAACTATACTACCAATCGAAATTATACTATTTAAATCCTAATGAAATCGTATGTACGAAATACCTACCTTGTAACGGACTCTAAAACATATATTTAGTTATTTTTTTATTTAGTTTTGATTTTAGATTCTGAGTGGAACGATGACTGTATGATTTTACAATGATGTGTGTTTTTTTATTTTTTTTTTTTGTGTCTGTCATCACCTTTTAGGACAGTAAACGTGCTTGGATTTTCTTCAACAGTATCTTTTCTGGTAGGAAAGTGAATCTAGTTGGTAGTTTGGGGGGGGGGTCAAAAGTAAAATTTTTCAAGTAGTTTTCAAAAGCGTAGTGAAAACAAAAGAAAAATTAAGGAAAAACCAAAAACGGGAATTTTTCCACAAAATCGATTTTGGTTTTTGTTGTTACTCTAAATCAAATGAACGTATACAGTGTGTTCACGCTAAGAGGTACCACTGAATATCTCAGATGTGTGACATTATATTGAAATGGGGTTTTCGGGAGACGATAGGGAGCACTTAAATACATATTTTCAGACCAGTTTCAAATTTTTAGCTCACTCGGTACGCGCATGCGCAATACAACTTACTTTTTTTTAAATGGCAACCCCAGTTTTTTTTCTGCAGATTCGGGTAGAGTATTTTTTTTTAAACATTTATTGTATAAAAAGTTTTTTTCTATTTTCAAAACTGACTAAGTTAGAGTAAGTCAAAAATTGGATTTATGCATACAATGTGTTTAATGCAATTTTCATTTATAACCACTGGAAATAATAAAATAAGTGCCAAATAAACGTTTAATGGGGGATGGAGTCGTGGCCGAACGGACTAAGGCGTCGGTTGCGACGCGCACCGTCGCCGGTTCGAACCCGGCTACAGGTGGCATTTTTCTTCTGGTGTGCGGAGACTTAGTCAGTTTTGAAAATAGAAAAAAACTTTTTATACAATAAATGTTTAAAAAAAAATACTCTACCCGAATCTGCAGAAAAAAACTGGTGTTGCCATTTAAAAAAAAGTAAGTTGTATTGCGCATGCGCGTACCGAGTAAGCTAAAAATTTGAAACTGGTCTGAAAATATGTATTTAAGTGCTCCCTATCACCTCCTGAAAACCCCATTTCAATACAATGTCACACATCTGAGATATTCAGTGGTACCTCTTAGCGTGAACAGACTGTATACTTTATTATACACTATAGTCTATAATACTTATTATTTATTGTATAAAAAGTTTTTTTCTATTTTCAAAACTGACTAAGTCTCCGCACACCAGAAGAAAAATGCCACCTGTAGCCGGGTTCGAACCGGCGACGGTGCGCGTCGCAATCGACGCCTTAGTCCGTTCGGCCACGACTCCATCCCCCATTAAACGTTTATTTGGCACTTATTTTATTATTTCCAATGGTTATAAATGAAAATTGCATTAAACACATTGTATGCATAAATCCAATTTTTGACTTACTCTAACTTAGTCAGTTTTGAAAATAGAAAAAAACTTTTTATACAATAAATGTTTAAAAAAAAATACTCTACCCGAATCTGCAGAAAAAAACTGGGGTTGCCATTTAAAAAAAAGTAAGTTGTATTGTGCATGCGCGTACCGAGTGAGCTAAAAATTTGAAACTGGTCTGAAAATATGTATTTAAGTGCTCCCTATCGTCTCCCGAAAACCCCATTTCAATACAATGTCACACATCTGAGATATTCAGTGGTACCTCTTAGCGTGAACACACTGTATACTGAAAATTTCACTGGTTGTTTATATTTCCATTTTCTATACATGATAAAATTTTCCAAATATTTTGATTTATTTTGAGCTCTTTACGGACATTTTTAGTTTCCATTTTTTTTAGTTTTTTTTTCTATAAATATCAATAAAATTTTATTTGTTGGGTACAAAAGCTTAAAAATTTAATAGAAGGCTTCAAATATATTGTTTCAAAGACAGATGATGCAGTTACGATTAGTCGGTCGTAAAGTGCGCACGTATGTGTCGATGTTTCGCTCCGTTATCAGTGTTCTGTGACAAGGTCAGCGTCATTAAGCGTATGCTGCACCATGGACGGCTAACCCAGATATTACAACAGTTTCGGTACTCAAATTTCACTTCATATTGCCAAAAAACTCCCAACTGTCTACGATAGTAATGGTAATGTTATCCCCCTTCAAAATGAGGACGGAGTAACGACTTTGGCTCCGAAATCCAAACGAAATCTATCATTATCCTCGACTAGTTATTTTCTATTTGACTCCAGCAGAAAGTAGAAACAAGTAACACATTTTTCAAAATAATAAAAATGATAAAAAAAACCCATATTATATTATAATGATATTATGAAGTATATGAACGTTTTTTCACAAACCGTGGCCTACTATCCCCCTTCTACCGTCTCGATGGTTCGTAGGTATACACAATAGGTAGGTACAGTATTTATTATAATTCATCCCAGACTTTCAGTTCTAACATCTTCACAATTTGGAGTGACATAGGTATTGCAACTATCACTTAGATTTTAGACACGTCTCATTTGCCTTAATTGTTTTTTTTATATAAGCTCGACCTTCAATATTTAACACCTCATTACCTATCACAGAGTTATAGCAAGTGTTTGTCAACCACCTCTGATTTTTTTTTCTATTAGACATTTTTGAAAACCCCCTATTACTGCATTATTGAAACTTGAGAGGAGTCGTCAGTACTCACCACAATAAATCATTGAACATTGTAATAAGTAAATAAAGTAATACCTAAGTAATAACTAGGTCCCAGATTTATATGCAAAAGAATATTCTTCTACAATTCACTTAAAATTATTTTTATTATAAATGTCGACGTTTCGTAATGTGTAGATTCTATGGCTAATTGTAATTTTTGTATATTTTTGCATATTTGAATGAAAATGCATATTTATTGCATATTTCTTTATAATTGCATACATGTACAAAACAATTTGTAGAATTTACGTCTATAAAAATACCTACTTTCGATCGTAAATATCCCGTTATAATGTACATTGATAAGTAAGATATCGACGAATGACGACAACAATTGTATTTTCTAGTATCTAGGTAGTAAATTTAAAATATTAACAAATAACAAAACACTTACACATACTGTACAATACGTATTGGAACATAGAATTTAGTTTGGTCTGTCCTTTTACCGTGTGTAGTGTACTAGTGTACACTGTACAGTGTTTACAGAGTTTAAAAATTTAACTTGCGCATTGTATATAATGCTTGAAGTAAATAATGCTTCTTGGTATGTAAATGAATAGTGAATACCCAAACATATTTAAAACAGACAGAAATATTTTATTTTGCAATTTTTGTTGTGCATGTATCAGAAAATTTCAAGTAGTATACCTACAACATTTAGAAACTGCAAAACCATAGGTAGGCAAACCTATATCGAATTTCAGATTGAAAGAAGAAAAGACAACTCAACCTTCTATAAAAAGATTACTAAAACATTTAGTCAGGTCAGAATTAATAATCAAAATACAAATGAGTTTAATAAAGATTTATGTAATTTTATGGTGGCTAACGATATTTCACTTTTTAAATTAAATAATCTACAATTTAAATTGTTTTTTGAAAAATATCTTAAACTCAAATTACCAGATGAATCGACCCTCCGAAAAAACTATTCACCTTTATGATATAATGAAATTTTATGTAAAATTTAGGAATGAGATAGCTGATAGGGAAGAGTCCAATTTGGGTTTCGACTTTCGATCGATGACACAATTGATGTACAAGGACTATATGTTGCTAGTGTTATAATTGTGAAATAATCATCTGAAGGTTGAGCAATATTACAAAAGGCAAATTTTAAACAATTTCCCAGTTATTTAATTGCTCCATGAACATTTTATTACCCAAAAAAATATTTCTTGAAAAAGTATTGTTGTATAATATGTAACAGTATACTGCTCCATACATGGTTAAATCTGGCGGAGCTCCTAAAGTATTTTACCCTAAATGAATTCATGTTAAGAGTGCATGGCTCATTATAGACTACACAGAGTAGCTAAAGTCATAATAAGAGAAAAATATCAAAATGTCGATAGATTAATTTCATATTTTCATAAACTAAAAAGATATTTTTAAAAGCACCTTCGAGTGTAAATTCTTTCAAAGAAATGTATCCCAATTTGGATTTATCTCCACAACCAATATTAACTAGTTTGGGTCAGTAGCGTATGTACAAATTATTTTCATTATGGGCCAATTTTGGCAATTTATCACTAGTCAAGCACGACTAACATAGCCATAACTATACATATTTTAGAGAGCTGCAGCCTGCAGGGTGGTTATAATTATGACATAAATAAATAAATGATACAATTAAAAATTGCGCAATTTAATTTTATAATAATTATGTAAAATTAATTTTTTAATTGTTTTTAAAAAAATATTGACAATTTCATATATATATATTTTAATGTTATCTTACTTTGAATTTAACATTCAATGTCATCAAAGCAAGTCCTGACAATCATTTCCTTGTTGATACTTCAGAAACGATTTTAATCAACTGGCTAAATTAATCATGGTGAAAAACTGTAAACAGTGTAGATATATATGAAATGCTTTAATTTAACCTGCAATTTCACTATGGGCTCTGGCCTAGGGGGTCTCCCCCCTATATACGCCACTGGTTTGGGTACATGGCTTGAAGAAGCAATTTACTACCTATATGGGAAATATTTCAATGAGGTAAATGAATGTGTTATTTAACGATTTTAACCAAAAGAAGAGGAGTGTAAAACGCACTTAGTTTATTTCTTAATAAATAGTTAAAAAAGAGGGTAAGTGGATGTCGCTCTGCTGTACAGTAGATTACAAGTGGATCGTGTATAATAGATTGTATTAAACTTGAATTCAATGATATAATATCA